GGAGAATACATTAGTAGTTAATATATTATCCAGGTCGGGAATACAATAATAGTTAATATGGTGTATAGGTAAGGAATGCAATTGTAGTTAATATACTATATATATCGGGAATACAATAGTAGTTAATACAGTATCCAGGTTGGGAATACAATAATAGTTAATACAGTATCCAGGTTGGGAATACAATAATAGTTAATATAGTATCCAGGTCGGGAATACAATAATAGTTAATACAGTATCCAGGTTGGGAATACAATCATAATTAATATAGTATCCAGGTCGGGAATGCAATAATAATTAATATATTATCCAGGTCGGGAATACAATAATAGTTAATATAGTATCCAGGTCGGGAATACAATAATAGTTAATATAGTATACAGGTCGGGAATAGAAAAATAGTTGATATAGTATCCAGGTCGGGATTGCAATAATAGTTAATATAGTATCCTGGTCGGGAATACAATAATAGTTAATATAGTATCCAGGTCGGGAATACAACAATAGGTAATATATTATTCAGATCGGGAATACAACAATAGTTAATATAGTATCCAGGTCGGGAATACAACAATAGGTAATATATTATTCAGATCGGGAATACAATAATAGTTAATATATTATTCAGATCGGGAATACAATAATAGTTAATATATTATTCAGATCGGGAATACAATAATAGTTAATATAATATACAGGTCGGGAATACAACAATAGTTAATATAGTATACAGGTCGGGAATACAATAGTAGTTAATACAGTATCCAGGTCGGGAATACAATGATAGTTAATACAGTATCTAGGTTGAGAATACACTAGTAGTTAATATAGTAACCAGGTCGGGAATATAATAATAGTTAATATAGTATCCAGGTCGGGAATACAATAGTAGTTAATATAGCATCCAGGTTGGGAATACAATAATAGTTGATATAGTATATAGGTTGGGAATACGATAGTATTTAATATAGTATCCAGGTCGGGAATACAATAGTTAATATAGTCTATAGGTCGGAAATACAAAAATAGTTAATATATTATCCAGGTCGGGAATACAACAATAGTTAATATAGTAACCAGGTTGGGAATACAATAATAGTTAATATAGTATCCAGGTCGGGAATACAATAATAATTAATATAGTATCAAAGTAGGGAATACAATAATAGTTAATATAGTATATAGGTAGGGAATACAATAGTAGTTAATACAGTATCCAGGTCGGGAATACAATAGTCGTTAATATAGTATCCAGGTCGGGAATACAATAATAGTTCAAACAGTATCTAGGTTGGGAATACAATAATAGTTCAAACAGTATCTAGGTTGGGAATACAATTATAGTAAATATAGTATCCAGGTCGGGAATACAATAATAGTTAATATAGTATCCAGGTCGGGAATATAATAATAGTTAATATAGTATCCAAGTCGGGAATATAATAATAGTTAATATAGTATCCAGGTCGGGAATACAATAATAGTTAATACAGTATCTAGGTTGGGAATACAATAGTTAATATAGTATCCAGGTCGGGAATACAGTAGTAGTTAATATATTATTCAGGTTGGGAATACAATAATAGTTAATATATTATCCAGGTCGAGAATACAATAATAGTTAATATAGTATCCAGGTTGGGAATACAATAATAGTTAATATAGTATCCAGGTCGGGAATACAATGATAGTTAATACAGTATCCACGTCGGGAATATAATAAATGTTATGTTGTCTGGCTATATTTGTAGTGTCAATACCAGATGGTATAGCTGTTGATTCCCTTAGCCGGCTGATATTCTACACTGATACTGGTAATAATGTAATTGCTAAGATGACAGTGGATGGATCTTCTCACCAAGAGATAATTAAAAGTGGGCTGGATGAACCGAGAGCAATAGTACTCGACACTAACAACAAGTATTGCTTTCCCTATAATTTATTGCACCGACAGTGTGAAGGCTTCTTTATAGTGTTTAAAATAGTTCATTTTTCGGGTTATTAATCTCTTGATTAAATCAAGAACTGTTCTGGAACATCAAATAGAATAGTTGATACATGGACACCGTTTCTAAAAGATAGCTTGCGATGCAAGGTAACATACGCCCACTGGCAGCTTAGTGACTAAAGTACGAATTTTCTCATATTGAAAAAATTATTTATGCTGAATAATTCCATAAAATTGTTGAAAATCAATATCAATAACCCAAATACAACAAACAATTAAATCACACAGCTCTAATCAAGGGCAAAAAAAAAAACTTTTGACACGTGTTTACAAAGTCAAGGGCAATAACTCAAAAACCGTTTATCGAAAATGCGTCAAGTTAAAACTTGTCCGAGATCTTATCAATTCCAATGATCACACCAAGTTTCATCAGAATCGGTTGAAAACTGTAGCTTCTATTGTGCTCACGAACAAATTTTGACGCGTTTTTACAAAGTCAAGGGCAATAACTCAAAAACCGTTCATCAAAAATGCATCAAGTTAGAACTTGTCCGAGATCTTATCAATTCCAATGATCACACCAAGTTTCATCAGAATCGGTTGAAGACTGTAGCGTCAATCCTGCTCACAAACTATTTTTAACAAATTTCAACACGTTTTAACAAAGTCAAGGGCAATAACTCAAAAACCGTTCATCGAAAATATGTCAAATTCGAACTTGACCGAGATCTTATCAATCTAAAGCATCACACCAAGTTTTATCAAAATCATATAAAAACTGTAGTCTCTATAGTGCTCACAAGAAATGTTGACGGACGGACCGACGGACAGGGGCGACGACAATATACGACCACATATTCATGTGGGCGTATAAAAATTCGTAGGACTAAAATTACAAGTTAAGTGATCAGAAACTTAATGACGTTATCAAATCGGTAATTTATAACGTTAACGCTCGAACGTTAATCTAAGATATTCTGAGAAACGGGGTCCAGAGCTTTTCACTACCGACAATTTGACCCGTTTTAGAGCTTTGAATTTCAATTTGGATTTGAAGCTCTAATATAACTTAGTATATTTTTAAATATTAATTGTCGGAGTATATTTAACGTCAGTTTGGTAAAATGTAAATTCTGTTTTAAAGGGAAACTGCAGAATGAATATAACGGTTCTAGAGTAATAACTTTTGATTATCATTGTGTAAATCTTTTTTTAATATCTTATGTCTTACCTAAGCTATTTGTAAAAATAGTTTATCTTGTGTAAATTTTAGAAAAATGTATTGGACTGACTGGGGACTGGCGAAGATAATGACGGCAGATTATGATGGAAATAATCAAAAATCCCTAATTACGACAGGGTTAAGGTGGCCCAATGGTTTGGCTTTAGATTTGAAAAGTAAGTATGTCTTCGATGAAAAAATTACCTGTTTATTAGAGAGGGATATCGATTTACTCAATGGGAAATTTGAGGTGCTAAATAAGTTTGACATGGTTTGCCATTTTTGGAGGTCAATTGTGCCTTGGTCTCAAACAGTTTTTACAACTTGTTGTTAAAATTTGAGCCTTCTTAGTCTTGTGTATCGTTTTTTGGTTCGGATCGTTAGTACTTTGGTTTTATTTATCATTATCTTCTAACAAAGTTATCATATGATAAAACGACAAAACTGGTTATAGCATTGATTTATATGCTATATAGCATTGGTTTATCTGTTGTTCTATATGGGCATTTTTCAATAAAAGTGTAATTTTTATGTGACAAAATAAATTTATAAAACCATTGAAATATGTTAAAAGTTTTAATACATTCAAACCTTTCAATATCAACGTTAACAAATTTCAAAAAATGCAATCTTAATGCAAACAATAAGTAACTAAAACATGAACAATTTATTTGTACACTAGAAATAAATTTCCACTACGAAACGAACATCTGAACTAAGATTATTAATATTTGAAATAATGTAATACTATATTTTCTGTTAATTTAGGATTGACTGAAACAAAAAGGATATCAAAACATTACATTACATTTGATGTGTAACTTTTTAAGAATACATTTTGGCTTTATATTCTAAAATCATACCAAATTTACAAAGTTGTATCATTTCAAATGCAAATGTTTCGTGATGAATTTTCAAAATAAGGTTTCCATTCTTTAAAGAGTGTTGACTAGAGGTAGTTGATTGATATGTAATTAGGCTCATTAACAAAAACGTGTTTATCAGATAAAATTTTACTTTTAGGTTGCGTTACGTAGTGGACCAGACAGTTTTTCGTGGTGGACTAAAACGTTCCGTAGTGGACAATTTAGAATAACTTGCTGTTTTGAATCGAAACTAAATATGTAACAAGAATTATCTCAACTCTATGAAAAGTAAAATATGGGATCTAAAACGTATTAAGTTCATATATCTGTAGTTGGTGTCCTTTAACGTGTCCTCTTCTGGAGTTAGTTGATGGTTTCTCTCCATTTGTTATCCTCTACTTTATAATGAGTTGTTCCTTCAATTGCCTTCGGCTGACTAATCAAACACAATATATCTTCAAACACATACCAGTTTTTGTCCAGCATTTTCTTTGGCCAAGAAAAGCAATTGGCATCTTTCGATCCGATTCTGTGCATACACTCAACATACAACATCTGTGATTCTCTATCAATATTTTCCACGTATCCTGGGTATGCACATCCTTGATATGCAACTAAAACATATGCACTAATATAATTGTCAATTGTTTCATCAGTATCAACACAGGTCGGTTTTGGAGTTTGAACATCACACTTTTCTTTCAGACTAACTGAAGCAGTTCCAGAAGCTTTTGCCTGATTAACAGAAAACTTAAACTCAGACAAGTTATGGCCAGTACAAAAGTCATTTTCACATACACAGCTTGTCTCTCTGTGTTTCACCATTCCAGGATTCTCTGTTATCAGTTGTCCATACAGTGATTGGGTCATGCTGCAGGATATCTGATACACCACAAAATGACTGTATTGCTTCCATGGAGCCTGTTATAAAGTATCCAGTGTGGAGCGATATCTGTGTCTTTGAAGCCCCGAAATGTTTACTTTGTATTTCACTTGAAAGTTTTCCCACAAAATTTTCTGCAAAGTCAATATGAATAAAGCATTTAGTTGATTTAAGAGTTTTTCTGACTTTCTTGTAATGGCGGAATTGGTTTTTGATATTGTAGGAATGTCTTCTATACTTCAGCCATAGTTCATCATGGACACGATCCAGTAAGAATCCTAAAAATGTTTCTGTTTCTTTCTTTGTCGTAACTGTTACATCTTTCATTTCTCCACTCTTCTGAAGTTTTCTTGTCTCTTTCTCTGTTACCCACTCACTATAAGTTACCACAAGGTTTTGATCAAAGGGCTTTGTTATAATTCGTTTCTCCTTACATGTTTCACACTTCCCATACATGCAGTCAATGTCTTGTGTGGAACAAACAACATGCTCCACTATGGCATCCATGCAAGTAGTGGTAATGACATCATTTTTATACAGTTCTTTGATCATAAATCCAAGATTTTCGCATGTTTTACACAAGCAGGTTTGTCTGTCTTGTTCTGTAGGATATTTGACCCAAAATGGTTTGAGTCTGTAAAATGTAGTGAAGCTGATGACTTGGTTACTCTCAGATTGGTATTTAGAATACAGATTTGCAAGTGTATCTTGCATCAATCGCTTCTGACGCTTTACTTTATTTCGAGTGACAGTTTGTCGGATGCCTGTTGTCATTCTTGAGTTGTCGTCACGTTCAAAGAAATCATGCACCTCCTTTTTAAGTTTGACAGATACAGTGCATCTTTTCTTGGGCTTTCCCTGTTTGCAACGCATGCCTAATTCCTTTCTTAAAAAGTCTTTAAGTTTGTATTTTGCTGTAACACTACCTACTGCTGCAGCAATCACTCTTTTCTGCTTTGACTCTTTATACTTTTCTCTCAATTGTTGTAAGATCGCATAATATGTTAGTGTCCTTCTTACATTATTATTATGTCCAAAATGTCTTAGCAATTTTCTTGTCTTACTTCGTGGAAATTTACTTTATTTGTTGAACGCGCCAATCTCTTTTTTAGTCTCTCTATGGTTCTACTTGCATTTTCAAGTTTCTTCTCTAGTATTCGATTATCTCTATATACTTTAGCTTTCTCTCGGTTTCTCTTCTTATTAGATTGAATTTTTTGACGGGAACATGAAGGAAACACGAATTGTGCATCAGGCGGGCCATCACCAACAGGCGAGATAGGTGGTGTTAACTGTTGCTCAACATCTTTTAATTTTTGTCTTTGAGTTCTTTTGTATCCTCTCCATTTTTTTCTTTGTTGTCTCTGTGCCCTTTCTGTTTTCTCATTAATAAGTTTAACTGTCCCATCCACTTTGTTATCATGGTATCGCTTTCTCTCTTTCTTTTTGTGTTCGTTATATCTTACAGGATCAGCTTTTAACTTGTCTCTGAATCTTCGTAATCTTTCTGCGTTTGTTAGCGGCATGGCTATGTTATCGCACC